GGAGTTTGGACAGTTACGTGTACCCCTAGCTGTGGTTTTTGTGCAGCAGTGAGATTTCAAGAGATAACGTATAGTATTATTTTGCTAGCGCATACATACGCCTTCCTGACCTTCAATAATATTTACTAAGAAGTTTACTAAGTTTACTAAGAAAAGGCATACATATGGAGCAGATTATGTGATGCAAAAGTCAAAATCTATTAGTTTACAAATCATGCATTATGATAAAAGTGTTTTATGAAATACCTTGGTATTGAGCAAGGAATAAAAGTTGAGCCATTTTACTGCCTCTAGTGTTCATTTCAAATGGAAACCACAGGAAATTGTATGCATAGGGCTAGGCGGGGCTGAAGCCCCAGTGCCCGAGCAAGGAGGGAGGCCATGACATATATGATATATATATAGCAATCAAACAGAGTGTGTGGATCTGAGGGAGATAAAACAGGCCATACTGTTCAAATATGTACGACTAAGCGTGGACTGGGTGAGATTTGTGCCCTCAATACAGCAAGCCAACAGCTTCTGAGAATATGTTTGTTTGCCATCAAGGTCAGGGCCACTAATCAATGTCAGTATCTTTCAACATTTCCCTTGGAATACGATCCAAAGAGGAGTTTGGACAGTTACGTGTACCCCTAGCTGTGGTTTTTGTGCAGCAGTGAGATTTCAAGAGATAACGTATAGTATTATTTTGCTAGCGCATACATACGCCTTCCTGACCTTCAATAATATTTACTAAGAAGTTTACTAAGTTTACTAAGAAAAGGCATACATATGGAGCAGATTATGTGATGCAAAAGTCAAAATCTATTAGTTTACAAATCATGCATTATGATAAAAGTGTTTTATGAAATACCTTGGTATTGAGCAAGGAATAAAAGTTGAGCCATTTTACTGCCTCTAGTGTTCATTTCAAATGGAAACCACAGGAAATTGTATGCATAGGGCTAGGCGGGGCTGAAGCCCCAGTGCCCGAGCAAGGAGGGAGGCCATGACATATATGATATATATATATATATATGGTAACACTTTATAATAACGTTCAGTTGTAAGTCATTTATAATTGATTAGTTAATGTGAGTGAAGTGACATGTGGCCAAGTAACATGACTATACATTCACAAATGATTAAGTAATATGCTAACGATTTACAAATCTCGTAAGTTATCTTAAAAAATAGCATCATGAAATAATCAAACAGATCCTTAGTAAAAGGTTAATACACTGAAAAAAAATGATACAAATTTTTTTTAAGGTAAGTGGTTGCAAACAATATATTTGAGCTACATTTAAATAAAAAAAAATGTTGAAAGTTAGTCAACTAAATTTGTTTATTTAAATGTAGCTAAAATAAATTGATTGCAACCACTTAATTTTTTTTTTGTAAATTCAATGAATCATTGTTTTCAGTATAGTTACTAGTTAAGTTACTAGCTAATATATTATTATTATTCATTTATAAATCATTGAAATGTCAACATTGTACTATTATCTCACAGCATTATAAATACTCCATGTGTGTCAGAAAATACATCTGTCTAGACCCTCACCAGTCAGCCCTTACATTGCAGTACACACTACAAAGTATTCAAAACCTGTTTTGTAAACAAATTAATAAATAATTTACAAAGCTTTCTGCATCCCCTATTCTAAAGTGCTACTCATCAGTTGTAAATGTTTTACAAACCTGCCGGTTACAGGTTGTGTGTGTGTACACACTGGGGTGAAAGATCTACGAATGATGAGTAAAACATTTACAACTGATGAGTTATATATTAAGTAACAATTTAAAGCTGTATATACACCATTATTGTGATGGGGGGCCCTGCAGTAAGTCATAGCCCCGGGGCCCAGTGATGTCTTAACGCGGCCCTGGTAGAGGCACATGTTTCTAGCCTAGGTTGATGTATTTAAGTACAGTAGGCCTACTTCATTCCAGTTCAAATGGATATGATTCAGTTATTTTGAACATGAAATACAGGTGCATCTAAACCACTTTTTGTGCACAAACTGTGAAAACCATTTTTGCACATGCTTAAATCAATTTACATTTACATTTAGTCATTTTGCAGACACTTTTATCCAAAGTGTCTTACAATTGGGCAAATCAATAAAAATACATCCAAATAAAACCAAGTCACTGCTATGCTGTTTGTAGGAAAACAGGATAAGCCATTCAAACAATAGAAAGACTAAACATAGACTAAAATAATGCTTGAGATGGGTGAAGGGGTGGTTGAGGATGTGAACTCCAAACAGGATGTTGTATGACACTACTATGATACTGCATGAAGTTGCTATACACACATTTGCCAGACTATTTCTGCTGGCACAAGGGATGTTGAAGTGCCCAGAGAACTGACTCTCCATGGCTAAACCTGCTTGATCCATACAGTACAGTGGGGTCTAAAAGTCTGAAACCACATTGAAAATCTGAGAACATTTTATTTAAACCTGGTAATAAACAGAAGATAAAATAAGAAATAATGTTATATAATTACTTCAGGACATACACATTACTGAAAACAGCAATGTATGACAAAATTTAAATGTGATTGTGGATAGAGTAAAATATTTAAATTAGTTATCAAATATAGCAATCAATTAGTTGAATATTCTATACTTTATTATATATTGCAAGTTATGCAGTGCATTCACAAAGTATTCAGTCAGACCCAGATTTGTGATAACGTCACATTTATAAAAAAAAAAATAAAAAAAAAACTGCCTCCATTCCTAAGCATTCACACAAAAATTTATGAAAAGTTGGTTTGCCAACTGCCAATAAACGGTTTGTTTTTACAAAATTTTCATCAAATAAATCAGCACTATTTCCAAGCCATTGATCAAATAAGGAAATTGATGACATTCATTATGTGAACTCCATGTAAAAGGTCAGATTTATTTTCTTCAATTGAAGCACAAGATGCTCTTTGGATCATTCTCAATCAGGTTTTAAACAAACTTGAGTTGGGTTGGAAGTTTATGCATCATGAATGTTTTGTCATAATCAAGACCTCAACACTTTCACTGCCATCCGACTTGGGGGACAGAGACATCTGCATTGTAGAGTAATGTTTGACAGATTTTGACCAGAGAAATGGTGAGTGGCATACAGTGATTTTCACGTCATAAAAGTTGTGAAAACAAGAAAAACAAGACTGAAAAGATAATGCATTTCCTCTTACGGCCTCTGTAAGTGCCACTGCCTTAAAAGTGATGCATATGAAATACTAGAAAATCCATAAATTCTCACTCAGTGTGTTATATATATATTCATTATCTGATAATATAAGTTGTGAGACAGAAAGAAAGAAAGAAAGAAAGAAAGAAATAAACTTTCTTTAACCAGTTATCTCAGACTTTTGGAACCCACTGTATAGTTCAATCTAATCCAGTAAAGAAGGAGTTGTCTTAAGCCAGACATCCTGTTTGTGGCTAATTGCAGCTCTGTAAACAACAAGCTCAGGAAGCTTCATTCTGAATTCAACTGTTGTAAACATGCCAATAAAATGGAGAGAAAGTGACATTGCGCACTGTCTAAAACATTGATTTCCCTTCTCCCTTTGACAGTTTTGCAGAGATCCGATTCCAATAGTTTGCTTTGAAAAAAAACAAAAAACAAAACACATATACTTTAAAAACTTGCTTGAGAAGCATGGTGTTCACTATGTTCTCCAGATCAGCCAAATGTACATATCCCTCGAAGGAGAATGATCTGGTGTTTTCTCATGTGAGGGTATTAATTTTAAGCACCCTTCTCTGACAGTACAGTGTATCACTGGTTGAGTGATTGTGTCTCTCACAGATAGTGGATGAAAGCCAATTTAAAATAAGTTTTTTTTTTTAATCTATTTTTATTGTGTATGATGAAGTTACAGGTTTTATTCAATTCAATTCAATTCAAGTTTATTTGTATAGCACTTTTCACGATACAAATCGTTGCAAAGCAACTTTACAGCAAATTAAGTTTCTACAATATTTAGTGGTAGCTTATCAGTGGTGACTGTCAGTTAATGTCTTACAATTGGGCAAATCAATAAAAATACATCCAAATAAAACCAAGTCACTGCTATGCTGTTTGTAGGAAAACAGGATAAGCCATTCAAACAATAGAAAGACTAAACATAGACTAAAATAATGCTTGAGATGGGTGAAGGGGTGGTTGAGGATGTGAACTCCAAACAGGATGTTGTATGACACTACTATGATACTGCATGAAGTTGCTATACACACATTTGCCAGACTATTTCTGCTGGCACAAGGGATGTTGAAGTGCCCAGAGAACTGACTCTCCATGGCTAAACCTGCTTGATCCATACAGTACAGTGGGGTCTAAAAGTCTGAAACCACATTGAAAATCTGAGAACATTTTATTTAAACCTGGTAATAAACAGAAGATAAAATAAGAAATAATGTTATATAATTACTTCAGGACATACACATTACTGAAAACAGCAATGTATGACAAAATTTAAATGTGATTGTGGATAGAGTAAAATATTTAAATTAGTTATCAAATATAGCAATCAATTAGTTGAATATTCTATACTTTATTATATATTGCAAGTTATGCAGTGCATTCACAAAGTATTCAGTCAGACCCAGATTTGTGATAACATGTCACATTTATTAAAAAAAAATTTTTTTTAAAACTGCCTCCATTCCTAAGCATTTCACACAAAAATTAACGAAAAGTTGGTTTGCCAACTGCCAATAAACGGTTTGTTTTTACAAAGCAAAGCAGAATTGATTTGTTTAACCCAAGCTAAATAATAATAATAATGTGCATTTGATCAGATATAACTGCAGTACAAGATTATGAGATGCATTATTTGAATGCTTGGCCAAAGAGATGTGTCTTTAATCTAGATTTAAACAGAGAGAGTGTGTCTGAACCCCGAACGTTATCAGGAGAACCCGCGGCGAATTACACTTCCTGGTTCTGACGTCATAGTTCCCCCACTTTATTTCAGATCTATTAATGCACTTAATACTTAAATTTCATGTCCTGAAGAACAGTTCTCCTCACACACATACACTGGGAGAGCATGCTGACATCATGTAAACAAAAAAAATAAACATGTTAAACAAGCTGTGAATTTGGACTTACCTGAAGATCAAACATTTAGAATGTCATGCAACATCTATGAAATCTTGCTGGTGTGTGCCACTTTCTCTGATATGGTGAAACTCAGCACAAACCTAGAAAACCACAAACACGCACAAGTAAGTGTATAACCAACAATGGATGTAGAAAAGAGAAAGCTGAGTCTGTGTCCTGTTATGTGAGGACACAACACACAACTTGCTCTTCAACTGAATAGAAGTTACCTTAAGTGTTGAGGCTCACTCTTTTGTATTCAGCATCCAGCTCAGCCTGCAATTAAAGAAAGTTTGTAAAGGTTTACTACAACCCTTACGAAAAAGAAGTTTATTCAAGTGAGCTATTATTATACTTATTTTAAACTAAAAAATAGGAAAGTATACTTTTAGTTTACTTTGTATGAACTTCTCAGAAATGGGCTTTATGTACTTCTCAGAAATATACTTAAAATTACATTTAAGTATACTTGACTTATACTTAGAAAAAGTCTAAATATATTTTAGCTATAATTGTGCTCCTAGAATCCGTGTTTTCATCAACGACGTGACGTCACTTTACATCAGTCAGTAAACTTAAAAATAATAATTTAAATGGAAGAGTTTACTCAAAACTGTTGAGCCACACAAAAATAAAACTAAATTCCTCGTTCAATGGCAGTTATTTGATATTTGACTTACTAGTCATAAAACTTACTAGTTTTATGGTTTTGAAAGGAAAAATATTAATACTACAAAATGAGACATCTAGCACAATGCTTTGACAACTACATAAATAAAGATGAATAAATAAATATTTGCTGAGTCAGCAGAAGTGATTGTTAGCAAAAAGGATAGCAACACAGCAATATTTATTATTTATTTATTTTTTTAATTGCATATACATTAAACATTTAATAAGAGAAAAAAATATATGTAAATGTAAAAAAAGGTAATACTGCAAATTTTGTATGCTTTATTTGATCATCACAGAAAAGAAAGAAAGAAAGAAAGAAAGAAAGAAACAAGCAAACAAACTACATCTTAAGATGTGAAGACCTTTTTGATCAACAGTTTGAGAGGTAGACAGTCATATCAATAAATTGGTGATTGACAAGTTTTTTTTTGTATCTAAATCCCATCAACCAGCACATACGCACAATTTAAGTATTGAAAACCCATGACACTGAAGTCCAAAACTGTGTTGCATCACTGAATGTAGAGCAACAGCTAATCATGAGCGATTATGTTCACAGAACGGGGGTGGAAATGGGTTAATATTTAAAGATTTTACTCAGCTGATGTCTGAAGGACTATAAATTGACTCCACTCCATCCAAACAGTCTCCCGTCAAGAGGACTTTGATGGTAAGTGACAGTAATTGTTTCTCCAGAAGTGCCGTGATTGTAACTTAATTAGACCTAGGAATAGTGAAAGAGCTACTGTGTGAAATGCAAAAGCTAAGATTTGTGTCACACATTTCAAGATCTGTTTGTGAAATTCTGTACCCTCTGGTCATAAACCACAGGTGAAAAAAAAATGTGGGGAAAGATTTATTACAGTGTGATTGCTGCCCTGCTGGTAGCCATGGCCTGGGCTGCACCCCACGAAGGCCACGACCACGGCAGCCACACAGCTGAGCACCACCACCATCTCCACCACGGGAAGGACGAACCCCACCCCAGCCACGATGGGGAGGATGCCTGCCACCTGCTTGCTCCACACAACGCTGACTTCGCTTTCTCCCTCTACAAGAAACTTGCGTTCCATCCCGATGCCAAGGGCAAGAATGTTTTCTTCTCCCCAGTCGGAATCTCAATGGCTTTGAGCATGCTGGGTGTAGGTGCCAAAGGCAGCACACTTTCACAGATATACAGCAGTCTGGGTTACAGTGGGTTGCAGGCTTCACAGGTCAATGAGGGTTATGAGCACTTGATCCACATGCTGGGCCACAGTCAGGAAGCCATGCAGCTGGAGGCAGGTGCTGGTGTGGCCATCAGAGAAGGCTTCAAAGTGGTTGACCAGTTCCTGAAGGATGTTCAGCACTACTATAACAGCGAAGCCTTCAGCGTTGACTTCTCCAAGCCTGAAATTGCTGCAGAAGAGATTAACAAGTTCATCGCTAAGAAGACCCATGACAAGATAACTAACATGGTGAAGGACCTGGACTCCGATATGGTGATGATGCTGATTAACTATATGTACTTCAGAGGTACTAAATAAAGTTCTCTTTCATTTAATGATATTCATGTAATGAATCTTGGTTTGACGCTGACCTGAAGTTCTTGCATTTTGTCCTGATAGGGAAGTGGGATAAGCCATTTGATGCAAAACTGACCCACAAAGCTGACTTCAAAGTGGACGAGAACACCACCGTGCAAGTTGACATGATGAAAAGAACTGGCCGCTATGACATCTATCAAGACCCTGTCAACCAAACTACGGTCATGATGGTGCCCTACAAAGGCAATACTTCCATGATGATTGTTCTTCCTGATGAAGGGAAGATGAAGGAGGTTGAAGAATCCATCTGCAGACACCATCTTAAGAGCTGGCATGATAAACTCTTCAGAAGGTAGTACCGGTGACACCTTCAGATTTAGATCCATGTATTATTTGACCTCTGACCTGAAGGTTGATTGTTGTTTAGTTGCACAGAAGTTTAGGAACCTTGAATATGACCCAGATACCATAGTATCTGATATACCATATTTTACTTTTCTGCCCTTCAGCTCTGTGGACCTGTTTTTGCCCAAGTTCTCCATCACTGCAACGTCCAAACTGAATGACATTCTGCAGGACATGGGAATGACTGATGCATTCAGTGACACAGCAGATTTCTCTGGGATGACAGAAGAGGTCAAAGTCAAGGTGTCACGGGTACGTGTACGTGTTACCTCGTGTAGCACCACCGATGGTTGCTAGATCTAAAGATTTTGAAAACTCTACTAAGTGATGTTAACTTTTTGGGCCCAATCTCCAGGTTGTCCATCAGGCAGTCCTCAGTGTGGACGAGAAGGGCACAGAGGCAGCAGCTGCAACCACGATAGAAATCATGCCCATGTCCCTGCCTGACAATGTGATGCTCAACCGACCGTTCTTGGTACTGATTGTAGAGGACACCACCAAGAGCATCCTCTTCATGGGCAAGATCACCAATCCTACAGAGTGAGGTCCAACTCCAAACAGAACTTGCTGGCACTCTGCATAAGTCTACTAATCTTTATGTAGATCTCATTGTCAACTGCCTCATTGTCAATAAATTGGTTTGATTCTAATTAAATGAGTCATCATTAAAATCAATTGCACAATATATGCATTTTTTATAGTGATCTCAACTTAATGCGGTCTTGAAAAATGTCAAATTTCAGCTTCTTAAATTGTGTCTTATTTTTATATATATTTAACCTAATTTATCAGGGAATTTAATACAAATGGATTTACAGTAGACTCAAACTCTTATAGCAAGTTTTTTTTGAGTGTCTCAGTGGTGGTAGTAACTTTTGTAACGCTATCTGTTGTTGCCTCAGTGTTATTCCTCAGCAGTTCTGAAAATGAATGACAGACATTTTGGTTTGCAGCATTGGTCTTTTCCTGATAGGCTTCCTCTAGTCCCTGGAACACAGTTGGGCGATACTGGACTACACAGAATGCACAGAATGCAGTTTGCCATTATTGGAGCCTAAAACCCTAAGACCACTATTGCAAGAACAATGCACAATCCTAAAACTTTGTTTATTCCTAGTTTTTGGTTCCTAGATCTTCAAAGCGGTTTCAAACTTTGGACTCCACTGTACACAGAGCTTTGTTGGCTCTCAGTTGTCAAGTTTTTGAGTTCAAATGCATTGAGATGAAACAACACCATATATAATAACTTTTTCTTTCTGAATCTCAAACCTTAAAAGAATAAAAGTGCATAAATAATGATAATAAAAATTTTTTTTTTAAAAACACAAAACAAGAACACTAGGAGTCTGGCAGCAATTTATGTTTGCTTCCAAATAAATGAATTTTTAATTTCTAATTCTAAGAAAGGAAGAAAAAAAAAACAGCTATGTTTTAGGTTGCACAACAGAGGGAAGGATGAGATAACCTCTGGTTCATTCCCCTCACCTCTTTGACCTTTAACCTTATGATAGAGCTCCTGCACCAGGATGGTGTGCTCAATCAATAACACGTCCTCCATAAATCCAACACAGCAGGCTGAGGCATGTCTGTTTCTTCTAAAAGATCAAGAGTGCAAATAAATGAAAATGAAAATAAAATGAAAGCCTTCAGTCAGGAAATAGATCACATCAGGATGATTTTCATTCCAAGATAACTCTGGCAAAGGCTCTGGACCATATGGCAGTTCCTCACAGGTTTCTGCTCAAGCCTGATGTCATCATGTGCTTGTGACCTCTTTCGAGGGCAGAATCATGAGCGGTAGGTGTGGATAAGGCTGGATTTGTTTTATTCTTGCATGCACACAATGGCAATTAAACAAGCCTAATCAGAGAAACATGAATATGTATCTAACACTGACAAACAAAATTGAAAATATTATGAAAATGATGTAATAACTGGAAATAATTTAATAAAAAAAAGAAGGAAAAAAAAACACTTTAACTAATTTTTGCACACAACAGAGAATAGTTTGTGTTCTCAGAGGTCATTAAACCTCAATTTAATCTTTATTTTTATGCAGTAATTATTGTAATATAAAATGTTGGCTTTTGATTGTAATATTTTTAGACAACACAAATCTCTAATAATTCATTTGGTAGTTCATTACTGTTATGAAGTACCATATGAACGCTTGTAAATATGCTTGTAAAGTAATTTCTGGAAGTATTTCTATTAAAGGCTATATGTTAAGCTTAGACCAATAAAGTCTATTCATTATAACTTGATTATTTCCACCATGGCAAGACAATTATGAGGACGGAACCTAACAGGGAACTGCACAGCAGGAATGACTGCTTCATTTTGTGCACAACTTGCTTGCTGGACTATGAACATTGCTTTATTTGGTGTTCCTGTGTGCACAAGTGTACTGACAACAAACATGTGTTCTCAGAGGTCATTAAACCTCAATTTAATCTTTATTTTTATGCAGTAATTATTGTAATATAAAATGTTGGCTTTTGATTGTAATATTTTTAGACAACACAAATCTCTAATAATTCATTTGGTAGTTCATTACTGTTATGAAGTACCATATGAACGCTTGTAAATATGCTTGTAAAGTAATTTCTGGAAGTATTTCTATTAAAGGCTATATGTTAAGCTTAGACCAATAAAGTCTATTCATTATAACTTGATTATTTCCACCATGG